ATGCGAGCTTCGACCATGTCCGCAGACTTCCTCAGTCTGATCTAGAAGCACACACAGTACAAAGTTTAGAACAATTAGTATATGCATATGTTGTCCAAGAAGGTCGGCCTCTGATTCTTGAAGGATGGGGCTCATATATGCCACCATGGTTATACTCGTCGAAATGGCTAGAGGAGAATTTGGGCAGAGAGGGTAGGTGGATCGATTTTCTTTTCAGTAAAACATTTCCCAAGCTTAACTTTACTTCTAGTACAAAGGGTTCGAGATATTACCAGCGGCATTGATGTTCAAATGACTATGGGACATTACCTACGTTCCATGGGTCAGCTGGCGAATCAATTTACCCCTCAGACCTACCGGGACCCCAAACGACAGCGACTATACCTAAAAGATATTGATTGCCCTACCGAATGGGAAGAAAATTTGAAAGATGTTTTGCCGGAAGCTTTTTTTTACCTGAACGATTGTATCGAGTCGCGGACTGGTGGTGATGGAGCGATCCGCGAACCTAATGAATTTGGCCAGATGCGATTTGGAAAAGGAGTTGCGCCTGCAGGCGACCTAATGAGCAGTCTGCCGACAGATATGCGAGCTTTGAATATGATGTGTTACATTGGTCACGAAGGTACTTACACTCCAGCTCACAGGGAAATGTGCGCAAGTTTGGGACATAATCTTATGGTTGAAACCTCGGGTGGAAGTGATGGGGAAATTCCTGGCAGTTCGATTTGGTTTATGACGGAATCTAAAGAAAGAGAGATGGTATCGGAATGGTTTGTTTCCAAACTTGGCCACGACATAGAAGTTGAGAAGCATTTTGCACAACTGAACGCCTGGAGAAAGGCCCCATTCAATGTCTGGGTCACGGAGCAAAAGGCTGGTGATCTAATTTTGATTCCGCCCCTTGCTCCTCACCAGGTTTGGAATCGTGGAACTCGAACGATGAAAGCTGCATGGAATCGAACCACTGTAGATACGCTTGAGCTTGCTATCCACGAAGCTCTTCCTCGTGCCCGTCTCGTTTGTCGCGATGAACAATACAAGAATAAGGCTATCATTTATTACACCCTAGATAAGTACTATCGCCTGCTTTCACGAGACACGGTGGAGCCAAAGATGTGGATGAGACCTGGAAGTCGAATCCGGCAGGTTATGGAAGATTTCAAACGCTTGTTTAAATTATACACAGAAGTACTTGTCAGTGAGCTGTTTTCTCGCTCGCGTCCTGAGAAGAACGTTGAATTTATTCAATTCGATTCAAACGTCACTTGTTCATATTGCCGATGCAATATCTTCAATCGTTTCTTGACATGCAAGTCATGTATTCTCACAGCTCCTACAGGGGAGGAAGATACCTATGATATTTGCATGGAGTGTTACGCCATGGGTCGTTCATGTGCTTGCATCTCTTGTTTGGAGTGGGTTGAGCAATGGAAGGAGAATGAACTCAAAGAAAACTATGAATTATGGCGCGGTGTGGTATTAAAATTTGAGCCTCTTCACGAGGGTTCACCTAAAACCTTAGAGGAGGAAAGAGATAGTTTTGGCAAGAAAACTGTTGCTCAAATATGTCAAGAACAACTTGCCATCCGGCCATGGAAAGACATCACTAAACCAGATGTAATAGAGCCGTTAGATGGTGAGTCGGATGTTGAGCCAGAAGCTGACGATGAAGGGCGTCTAAAGAAACCATACAGAAAGCCGTCTAGAAGAGGTAGAGTCCAGGCCACTAAAAACAAGACAAGTCCTTGTCACATCTGCTGCAATCATCATTGGAATTGGCAATCCGCACATTGTACCACTTGTTCCTCATCCTATTGCTATGGAACTTTATGGCGAGCCTTTGACATGATGCCTCAAACGGTGATGGAGATAGAAAACTGGGAGTGTCCAAAATGCTTGAAGATGTGCTCATGCGCAAGATGTCGAAGAGATGCGAAACAAACACCATATACTCCGAAGGGAACACTTCTTGGGCATGATACCAAAAAGGTGGCTGACTATAGGAGTGTTGAGAGTCTAGTTGACTTTTCCAAAACAAATCTTACTTGGTTGAGACACGAAGATGAAAATCTGCCAAATTCTGAAGAAACCGGAAGAATGAGGAGGTTGCGAGAGAAAGCTGAAAGGGATAAAGCACAGGAGCATGTCATTGATAATAGTTACTTGGGATATGAGGAAGAAGCTTTCTACCGAGCGGACGAACCCGAGGATACCCATTTTAACGATATGGCAGACATCGATCCTTCACTTCGTGATGACTCAAATCAATCGGCCCAACAACAAATAAACGGATTCCATCAATCTTGGGATCAGACTCAGCAGCCCCGTGAATATACTATTGACGAGCAACTTCATCAGCAATTAGGAGTTCTTGATGCACACCATGACTTGGATGATAATTATCATGCTGATATGCACGGTCCTAGTAGAGCAGCACAATACCCATCAAGACTCTTGGCACCATCGGTGGCACCAGTGGCACCAGTGGCACCCATGATTTCAAGTGAGGTTCCGCTACCTAATCCCCAGACACCCAAACCTGCAAACATGATGGGTGGTGATTACTACCCCACAGAAATTGGGCTGGACGGCATTCTCTATGACTCTCCGAAATCTGACTCAGAGCCAGCTGATGTGCCAAGTGTTGATCCTGCAGAACTATTAGCTTCACTTGATCAGTTCCGTAGTGTTACGAAAAAGAGAAAACGCCTCAATTCTGAAGGCATCCCTGAGGATGACGAGGAAGATGTGGAATTCATCGCTTCCAAGCGTCAACGAAAGGTCAAACCCAAGGAACCGGTCGACAAAGAAAAAGAGCCAGATAGTATCTCTAAACCTGAACATCGTCCTTCACGTGTCAACAAGCGACAAGATTATACTGAGCCATCATTGGCGGATGTAGAGAATTTGTTAAGTTCAGAAGTAGACGAAGAACCGCAGCCAGCTTCAGGGCAGAGTTTAGTTAGCAGCGCCGGTAAGGTTGCAGATGGTGTTGATCTCGCTGCAAAGGCTTTGAATTATTTTGCCAGAGAACAGACAACCCAGAGAGCTGGCTCTACACCCGTCAACAATGGAAAGAGAAAGCGTGGTCGTCCAAGCCTCGCATCCAAAATGGCGGCATCTCCTAGTGTGGATTCCCCTTCTAAGCCGTCAAAGTCGCCTGCATCTATCAAAAATCCTCGAAAATCTAAATGGCTTTCAAGACATGATGGCGTGAATAATCAGGAGGATAATAGCTCTGAAGTGTCAGCCACGAGGACCAGAACCTTGCGCAACAGTGCGCCATTAGAAAGAAAGACTAGAGCTACTCGACAAAGTCTTGCCAATGCGCTCGAGGACGAAAGCGAAGCTGAAGCAGACAGTGATGATCCATTCGAGGACAAGCATAGGAAGACGCGAGGAACTCGCCAAAACATGGGATCAAGAAAGTCGAAGTTGCACATTGATATTTCAGATGATGAGTCTGAACGATCTGGCAACGACTATGGCCGGGAAATCAGTGATGGTAGTCTTTTTGGAAACGATGCAGAAAATGTCGCTAGTCCAGTTAGCCCTGACATGTCTGAAGATGAAGACCAAACAAATGATAAAATAGCCGAGAGTTCTGACAATGATGCTATATCACCAGAAACTGACAAAACAAGATTATCGGAGCAGTCTATTCAGGCATCTATTGAAGAGCCAGTAGTTGTCAAGAAACGAAGAGGTCGACCGCCAAAGAAGTCGCAAAATACACGCCCCGTCCAAGCAATGCCCGAATTGCGATCACCATCTTCGTCCAAATCGCCTCCACCGCCCGGTGGCTCTAATTCTATAGTCGGTAAACCTAGCCAGTTCCTTTCACTTCGTGAGAAGCTTGCTCTTAAAGGAAAGAAGTTGAAGATTGTCTCGCAACAATCCAAGCAAAAGAAGATCGATGAGCAGCAGCAAAGACAATCAGCTACACCAAGCGCCACGGATACGTCATCCAAGGCGGTTAATTCAGCCCAACAGTCACCGTTGTTCACTCCCATCGATGGTACATATCCTAGCAGTTCAATTCCTTTACCAAAGACAGTCTCTGGAACATCTTCAACTGTACCTTCACGCCAACAATCTATAAGCCAAAATGAGATGCCTGGTACGGTGGTTAACCCAAAACCAGATGCTCAGAACAGCTCATTGAAAAACGTCATCTCACCCGCTCCTAATGGCCACGCTTCGTCATCAAGCAATAGAAGTATTTCAGCACAGCCCGCCAAGAATGGACCAACAGTCGTGCGTCTTGATAACGAGAACGATAACAAGCCAGCGAAGAAAGCCCCCACAATCGTCCGACTCATAGAATCAGAATCAGAGTCAGAATCCGAACATGATGATGACTTGGGAACGAAAAACTCAGATCCGCTCAAATCAGCTAGAAAGCAGAGTTTTAGCGAAGAATCAGATGAGGAAGGTTGGTCGAGTTCAGATGATGACATTCCTGCTGTTAAAACTGTTAAACATGTCCGTACATCACCCGCGGCTACTTCAACCTTGAAGTCACCGGTTACGGCAAGAGGAAGAGGTAGACCTCCTATCCCCAAATAAGTTTTTTGATCATGTAGAAGAGCCAATGGGATTGAAGCGCGCATTTTTTTGCTGGTATAGGTGTTACGTGTGAAATTGAATTGCTTGCCTGCTTGCTTCATTGCGTGCGAGGAAGGGCGGATATACCCTTGTTTCAATACATACTGCGTGGATGTATTTTCTGCAGCTGATATTTGCCTGGAATGTAAATCAGACAGGTTTCTCAAGGCTAATTTGCTTTTGATGAAAGGAACGGATAGCAAGGTCGCTTATTTAGGGGGCTCGGGGGGTGGGGGTCTCGAGGAAAATCCAACAAATAATAATCGGAAGTGAAACTAGTGAGTCGACGTTTGCTTAGTTAGTAAGTAGATTCTGAATCGCAAGAATTTACAAATACCAATCTCTAGTCCCTGATATGTGCAAACATGATTATGTGCAATTTCCTTGTTCGAATACTGAGTATCTCTATTGTCAAGGGTCTTATATACTCTATGCCTGCAAGAAATATCTACATCAACCCATCAAAAGCTACAAACGCCAAAACCCATTTAATCTCGTCTAATCTAGACTCATCTAGACTCATCTACCCTCTTTCCTCCCTCTCTTCTTCATCATTCATTCCCTCTCGCCCCTTCTGTCCTCTAACACCCCATCCATCCCTCAGCAATAACCCCACCTCCTCTAATCCCAACCCCTTCGTCTCCGGGTACACCCACCAAATCGCCCACCATCCAAACGCGCATACCACCGCATACACAACAAACGTCCACGTTGGAGTTAATTGTTCCATCATTGGAAGAAACGTAAGTCCTATAATGAAATTTGCCGACCAATTTGTACAAGTAGAGAGAGAAGAGCCGAGGGAACGAACTGAGAGGGGAAAGAGTTCAGATTGCATCCATGGGACGTTTCCAAGACCGAGGGCGAAGGCTGCGGTATATAGCATTATTGCTGTTAGAATTATGAGAGGTGGAATGCGGGAGGTAGAGGTGGAGGAGGATGTAGTGGTAGTAGAGGAGAGGGTAGAAGGGAGATCCATGAAGTGGAAGCCTATGGAGCAGAGGAGGAGTCCTATAGCCATTATGGGGATTGAAATGAGGAGGATACGACGACGACCGATGCGGTCGATGAGCATGAGAGCGGCGCAGGTTAGGATAAAATTTGTGAGTGCGACGGAAAGAGATGTTAGAGTTGGAGACGAGAACCCAACGATAGTGAAGATTGTGGCGCTGAAGTACATGAGGGAATTCTGGGAGATTTGGTTAGTTGAGTTTTTGATAAGTAGATTAGATGCACTTACGAAACCACACAACTGTTGAAGACCTTGCAGAAGACAGGCAATTGTCAAGGCTCTCCTATTTCCTCCAACCCCTATTAATTCTTCCCAGCTATCCTTCGCGTCACTTATCCACGAGTCCTCCGATCCCTTAGTTTTCCTCGCCATCTCTCTTAACCTTTTCGCCTCATCTTCCTCTCTCACTTCTCTTTCGATTCCCTTCAAAACCTCGTCGACCACCTTCTGCATCTGAACCCCTTTCCCAAAAACTCTACTCAAAACACTTCTCCCCTCATCTACCCTCCCGACTTGTACCAACCACCTTGGCGTCTCCGGCATAAACAGCATTACTAAGATCTGTACCGCTGCAGGCACCGCACCCAAACCAACCATCCACCTCCAACCCGTCTCTAGACTTCCCCATTCTACAAACGCCCATCCAACAATATAAGCCACAACTTGTCCCAATGTAATAAACAACACATTCAACACCACTAATCTACCTCTCCACATGGTTGGTGCTAATTCACTTATATACAACGGAGCAACAAAACTACCTGCTCCGACCGCAAGTCCTACAATACTTCGTCCGAGTATCATGCCCCATACTGTGGTTGTAAACGCTTGGATGAGTGCACCGAGAACGAATGCTAGATCTGCTAGAAGGACAACACGTTTGCGACCGAGAGAGGAAGCGAGAACGCCGGAAAGAGGAGAAATGATGAGGGCGAAGAGAGAGGTGCATGATGTTATTAGGGATTTGTCGAGAGTTGTCAGGGGGCGGCCGAGAGAAGTATGGAGACTTATTAGGGTAGAGGATATTACGCCAGTGTCGTCTGGTTCATATATTGTTAGCTACGATGTATTTCCGGATATAACTTTAGAGTGCATTGAAAGGAGTCGGGAAAGTGGAGAGGAGGTCATACATCCAAATAATAGCCCAGTAATACCTGCAGAAAAAGCAAGCAGCCAAACGAATAGCCCGGGTTTACTCAAATTCTTCTCGAGAAGTAATGAGACATCTTCATCCACATCATTCTCCTCCTCTTCCTCGCCGTGTTGATTGGGCAGGAGAGGTTCTTCGGCGGTAGAAGATGCCATTGTTTCGAGTGGGATATCTATTGAAGATGCCAGTGTGAGCTATGTGAACATCGAGTTCACATATCGTAGGTTGGGGGTTGAATGATGGCTAGTCGTTGACAGTGAGATTGATGAAGAGGTCTTGAAGTAGCTCAGCCGCGTGCTTCCTGGATGGTTTGTTTGCGGGTCGGATTTTGAGACATGGGGCTCGTGCGTGGCATATGCAGGGTTTATGCAGGGGTTTGGGTGCCGAGATTGGGGTCTTGTTCAGCCTTGCGTGGAAGGCTCAATGTAGAATTGGATGTGTATTTTTATGACGTTTATTGATGAAAAGAAGTTGTGGCTTTCTGAGTTGTCAGTTTTTTCAATTGGCAATAATAGTTGAAGTTTTGATGACCTCCAAGGAGTTTTTACTTTCTGTTTCATATCAACATCACCCGGTATCATCACCTACCTCCATTGTCTAATATGAGAGAAAGCTAACCTATAAATAATAGTGCAACACAAAATCTGCGGATGTAATCATTCCCTAGTCTCGTTCTGAAGTAGCAAGATGTCAGCCCTGGAGGTATATAGAGCTGACATCTTATTGGCAACGCAAGCAAGACAAGACAGAAGACAGAAAACTCTACGCCAATCCAATATTTTCGCGAGAATCATGATTCCAGACTTTAAATGTGATGTTATATATAGCGAGCCACATATAAAGAGATACTGGTCAATGGAGAGTAAAATCAGAAACATATGACAACATACTTCAGGGCTACTTCGGTTTGTATTTTCTGTTTAGTTTGGCCATTCTCCCATGGACAACTAAGTGTTCTTATTTAATTTGGGATTCTGAGTATGCCTCGGGAGCCCAAACACTAGATGCATGAGTCCCGGGATATCTTTCCATTGCCTTTGGTTCAATATTTCCGTACCAAGCTATTGAAACCAGCTAATTTTTCGAGATAGAAATAATCTATCAAAAACTTTTGATGCGACAATTCTGAAATTTGAAAGCCACCCTCCTTTCCCATTCCTGGATGATTGGCCATAACACAGTTTGTGACTAAAAGCAGCTACGGTGAAATCACTTTATTTGTAAAAGAGGCGATTGCAGGTATTCAATGTAGTTCGAGTCCCGATTATGTTTTCATGGAGTTGTTGTCAAGACGCACTGAACGAGAAATGCCATCTACTTCTGGTGTCACGAAAACCACTTCCGAAACACCGTCTAGACCATCAATTTCGAACAATAAGAGAAAATCTCTGGGCGCCGCTTTAACCATGAAGATAATGTCGTCAATGTTGACATTGAGGCGTTGAAATACCGTAGCCATGAATGACATGTCAAGGTGAACCGAATCTATGTCGTAGTTGAACCATGTTCGCGGTTCGACTCCCGATGAGCCAAAGGTAAGCGTATAGGTCTCAGAAGCAACCTCTAATGATTCCTTGCAAGTGTAGAAAATTGTTGGATTTGAGTCTCTGGACGCATACCCTCTAATGGCTCCTGCGTCCTTGTCAAGGAAATCGCGCCAGTGCAGGGATTTTGATCTTTGAATTGGTAAGTGACATAACCAAAATGAGGTCCAAGAACTCGAGATCATAGGAAGTCAGCAGGACTTACCGAACAATAGGATATTCGGGATTCTTCAAACAAAAATGTTTCAGCGCCACATTTCTTGGTCCAGGAAGTGCAGCTCCCCAAATCATCCGTCGAATTTCTAAGGGTAGCCGGGAAGAAATGGATGAAATGTCGCATTGCGATTGGGTACCTCGGGGGCAGAGACAGGAGTCATTCTCAAAATCTAGGAAAACACATCAGCACTTTGGATTGTGAAATTGGGATAGCAATGCATTTTGAACTGGTGAAGATTTCAAGAGAATCATACTGACTGTATGAATTGGCAAACCATAAAGAGGTGCGTCTTGTCGCAGAGAATGAAATGTTGACAACTATGAGAAGTTCGATACGGGTGGTGAGTTTGCTATTGGCACGAGGAACTTGACGAGAATAAAGATTGATAACTTTGTCAATGTTGGTAAATTTAGAGGAGATGCAAAGAAATATATTTGCAAGAAGGTTACTTGTCAAGTGCCTAGTATTACTTATCAAGGTGTGTGAGTCGAATTAAAATCGATTGAAAATGATTGTGGGAAATCCACCCCGCTACCAACCTGTCCCATAATGCTTTCACTTCTGACAAACATCAACCACTCATTAAAATTTATCCAAACAAAATTTCAACAGCCATTTTATCATCTTATTGAATAAATCAAATAATTATTGTTTAATGAATTGGACAGGAGGGCGCCTGCAAGGCATTCTGGAAATCTTCTCGTGGCGGCGGCGGTGGTGCCTTGACCAAACGACAAAAGGAACACTTCGCAAAGGTTGAAGGCCACTTAAGAATTGGAAGTTCAAAGATATATTACTCCTCATGTAAAATCTTCGACAATATCGTAGTGGAACAACCACACAGACGATCGTTTGGGAATTGTGTTGGTTCTGTGAACAATTCTGAGTATAGTGCAAGACAGGAAAGAGGGAGAAATGAAGTTGAGCGAGAACATTTTACGGATCTCTACAAAACACAACAATCTCACATCAAATCCAATGTGTAAAGAGCTTCAATATAAGCAGAAAAACAATCGTTCTTCGTCAGTTGAATTCGTCCAAAGAAGTTCCATTGCCGACGACGATTTATACAACGCTACACCTCCACCATTGAGAATCAAGCGCGAGCATGCTGTATTATCAGAGATTAGAGATGCTCCGCAGAACTGCGAGGCGCGAGAAACAATCGAACAATCTATGGAAGAAAGGAGACGGAATCTATTGGATCAGAAAGATTGGGTCGGCCTAAACATTCATCATTTGCCGAAATTGAAGTTCAACCAACCAAGACACGATGAAGATATTGGGCGAAGAAGAAAGGTAAAGGGTGGACACAGAGCAAGATACTCAAAGCTTCAAACAAGAATCAGCTCGCCGTTTGCCGCAAGGAACAATCATATGCGGGAGCAACAAGAAGCGGGTTACGTGGAAGGAAGCCTGCCGAAAAATGACGTTAGGATTTCGATCGGAGGCAGGATTGTTCCGCCAGGCATAAGTTCGAGTTCGCGACCGACTAAGTAATCCGCCAATCTACACCGCGCAGGAAGTATCGGATTTGTCATCGGATGATATGTTGCTTGACGATGAGTATATCATGGAGGACCGGAAGATTTGAATAGTGACAGATTTCCTTTCTATTTTCGAAGCAAGGATACATGGCATTGGAGAGGACAACAATTCGACGAGGATGATTCAATGAGCAGAGACCCGGATATTCACGGTACACATAGAAACCAAGAAAAGCTTCCAAATACGAGACGTGAACGCTCTTTAACATAGTCAACAGAAATGGAATTTCAAATGAGTTTGGGGGTAAAGCATCACCATTTTCTCGCACAGCCGTCGGATCAATTTGCGATACTAGGATGAAACAACCAGTGCCCATTCGTCCTGCACAGCATCCTGTTCTTCACTTAAGCTCTCCTAAATGTAACAGTAGTGTGCTTGCACAGGTCGGGGGCTTGAGAAGTGTGGTTTTCCGAAGATTCAATTGATGGACAATGAGATGTGGAAGGCATGGATACCACCATACACAGAGGGCCGCAGAGCGCAAGATTATGATGATGAAGGGGAAGGAGAAGAAACATCTGAAAGATAGGAGTGTATTTATAAGCCCGGCAATAAGTGCCATTCCAGCCTTACGCGAGAAAACTTTCAGGAGCTCATGGTCCAATGATGAGGATTCAAGTGGAAAATATGAACATACCGAGTCCTGGGGAGGGCTATGAAAGCGCGATGATACAGGAGCAGTCTACTGCCGTATATAACAGAGATTTATTTCCTTCGAACGAAGTCGAAAATATCTCATACAACGGTATGCCGCACAGCTCAGATGTCTATGATCACCCATTCTCGTCTGATAGATGTGAGCTGGGAAATGAGAGAGAGGGACCATCATCAACATGCGTACAATATACAAATGAGGACGATTTCACGATCGAACCACAAGACACTCGATCATCACAGAGAACATCTTCAAGTATTCCATGGAATCCTCCTAGGAGCTCAAGTCCTTGTAAAGCCAGAAATTCTCACAGTAAGTTTCTCAATGATCCTTGGTCCGAAGTTCTCCCTTTTCAGCAGACGCCTATCACCAGCAGACAAACCACTGAACTTAAGGAAACCGCACCACAGCACGATCAAATCATGATGCAGGATCAGACTTTCGGCAAAGTAAAAGATTGTCCGACACAAGGTGATCAAAATAAAACAGACCCAAACCAACTCTGGATGAAGTTTGTTTTTGATTGATGTCAGTGAAGATGAGGATACGTTATTGGAAAAGACTACATCCACAGGATTTGAGCTCGAGGAGAGGGAACCCTCGCCAACATTTTCAACCTTTGTGCACAATTCAATCGAGTCAGAAAGTCCATTGCAACCTAGATATGTTGCGCAAACGAGCAGTCGTATCAATTGGCAAGATCTACAGCAGAGAAACAGCAAAGTGTATAGGAACGAATTTGGCCAGTCCCCTAATTACTCAACTTTAGCTTATCAGTCCAGTGTCAACCACGAACCTATAGGAGCGGCTGCCCGAAATAAGAGTACTCCATATCCGTACGAAGAAAAACGTCATATAGCTAAAAGAGATTTATCTACAGACAATCTCACTTCTGAAGTAAACTTAAAAAACTCCGGTATCCCAAACACCAGTACTTCCTCATCTTCAAAAACAGACTCGCTTTCTATGGTAGCTATCTCAGGTTCTCAGATCAATATATCATCAACAACGAATCAAAGATCTTTCCTAGAACCACATCACAAAGTTATTTTCACAAAACCTCAACCATTTATTGGATCGAAATCAGACATTAACTTTCTCATCTCCTGATAGAACTATACGCATCGGCGGAAGAGATATCAAAAAAACAGATAAGCAGTGGTAATGGTACAATGTTTCCCGAAGAGATAGAGGATGATTAAAACATATTTGCGTTGTTAAAAGATGTAGTGCTTACCTTATGAGAGATCTTTTTAATCGGATTCTCAGGGTATATTAGCTATTTTGAGAGCTGAAATTGGCTAGATAGTTGGCATTTGACTAGTTGCAAAGGGAGAGTGGCAATCAAACATCATTTTAACGACTAGAATCGTAAAGCGATATCGTCTCTGTGCACACATATGTTCAAATCCATAATTATACACAGGATTTTCACTTTAGGCACTTTACTCGGATTATACTATCGGTGATGTCCTAAAACTCTGATTGCCGCTTTTCTCGTGAACTTTTACACAACATTGGAATCTTTTTGACAGCGAAATTTATTGCAGGCAGATTTTCCCCCTCTCGAAATGTCAAGAGATACAATTGATCAAATCTGAACTCGTATCACATTCAAGACTATAGATTCTCGATTTTAGATGATTAAAGGAGAAGTCACATGTAGATACATAGACAGGGAACTCGCAGGCCACTCTTTAGTCTCACTAGCATAATAGATCTAAGCCTCGTTACTAAATAGCTGACCGTAGATAAGATTGCCCTGGCTTTGAACGACCAGCAAACTAATCTCGATTGATTTTGATTCCCTTGTTCGCAAAATTACCATCGCTTAACGAAATTCAAAAGGAAGCGCTGAGCAATTCAATGGTGATTGAGCAGCTTATGGGGTGACAAAACAGCTCGAAGAGGAGCTCAAAGTTGCTCTTGGTTCTGCTTACGTACCCTGCATGAATACTCTAAATACTATCGTCACTGCTCTTGTGGATGTTATCAAGGACAAAAGCCTCAAGCTCAACTCTGCTGTAAGTTGACTATGATCATGTCATTTATCAACCCATTGATTAATGGTATGTGCAGTCAAAACCAAGAGCAACTTCGAACTCTTTTTAATGATGCTTGCAATATAGAATGGAGGCGAGGCAGTTTGCAGAGGCGGATAAGGTTTCGTAGAAACGAAAAGAAACGAGTTCGCCTATTGAAAGAGATCGATCAGTGTAATGAAAACCTACGGAGAACTTGGACCCAAGTCGACGCAGCCACACCGTTCCTTGATTTCATGGAATAAAAATAATAAGGAATCTTTAATTAAAGTGAAGGAATTCGCAGGCTGTCTTCACAGTGCATTACTCAAGTGTTGGCAATGCCAATGTTGCGCCGCCCATGATACACTTCTTCGAATCGAAAAACAGGCAGACGCGAATAATTAAGAAGGCAAAAGACACAGTTCGATTCGACCTATTGTTTGTGTCAAACGATGCAACAAGTGCTGCTGGCGATTCTTCGGCATGGAAACAAATGCAAGTTGTGGTGGTTCCAAAGAGGTCAGTATGTGTTCCTGCGCCAAGAACAATAGCTAATGAAAAGTGAACCATCTTTACAAAGTACACAATCCTCCGCGGTGCTTTGGAGTCCCCTAGACCCCAATACTGGACCCATCTTACCTAATGTATCAGGGCCTCCCGCCAGTGGAAGTTCTTCTGCTATGATGACAAGTACACCAAGAGGTCCAGCATCAATCTTTAACTTGGATTCAAGTGAGGAGATTGATTATCAGAATCTGAAAGCCATCAACACTATTTGCGAGGTGTCAAACAGCCCACAGATCATCCATGAATGTTTCGGATTCGTAGTAGATGAAGTGTGACAACTCAAAGGCACGTTCGAAGTTCCAAGATGGCACAAGTCCTTCCCATCCAGAATTCTTAATCTTGGCGACCTACTCAAAAATATCTCTGGGCCTACTTTATTCGTCGTTCCCACGAGTAGCACGACACTCTTCAAACTTGAGAGAATCACACTAGCTGTGAACTTAGCCTCATCACTACTTCAGCTCCATGCCACTCCTTGGTTCAATGAGCGATGGAATAAAAGCGAAATTCTGTTCTTGTCTGACAGAAGCAATCCAAGCATTCGCCCTGTGGATATAGAACGTCCGCTGCTTGCTCATAAGTTCTTTTCTAGCGGTATTACCAGTCCTACTCCGCGGAATTCGCTTCCTACTCCCACTCACCCACACGTTAGTGTCTTATGCCTCGGAATAATGCTCCTAGAACACTGGTTTGCGGAACCTATCGAATCTCGTCGATTCTCCAGCGATCTGGTTAACGGTGTTCCAAATTCAAGCACTGATGTCATTGTGGCTGAGAGATGGGTGAAAGAGAATGGAAATTTGGAAAATATGCCTGCAGGATATTATCAAGCCGTCAGTAGCTGCGTATTCTGTTTTTTTTCAACCTATGCCTATAAATAAAAGTCTGGAGAACCTTGATTTCAGAGAAGTAATTTGGCGAAATGTCGTGGTTCCGTTGGAAAAGGAATTGCAAACTTGGAAAAATGGGAGAACTTGAGTTGAAAAGAAGTTCCTACAGCGAGACTTCAAGGTACGATTAACAGAAGAACACGTGATTTTGATCTTGGATTGAGCCGGGAATGAGCCGGACTCTACGGAATCAAAATAGGAGGCACAAGTTGAGTACCATTGAGAAAAACTTCGAATCTCTCTTCAATATCGTATTAAATACATATAGTTCTGACTGTTAATGTAAAAAGGGACCAATTTTCGTTTGATCTTTTCATATTTTAGTATTTAACTTGAAACGAATTTATAATTCAATTAAGAAGTCCTTTGAAAGGAGACTCAATTCTCGCCTCTTATTTCGGTTTACGTAGCCGGAAAATAGCATAGGGAGCCTTAAAGGTTATATGGCTGGAAGACAATCTAGTGGTCAGAGTTAGAAGAGAACCTCTTGCCTTGAGGTTAGAAGGATTATCAGTGATATAGTACTAGAAGGAGCTTCAGAAGTAGTCGTATTTCTATACCCTAAGGAACTCGCAAAATGTTCTAGCAAAAACTTGCGATAACATCTGGCCTACGAAAACACGCAAGCTATATTCGATTTTCCATGTGACAGATCTAGATGTGTGTAGAATAATTTGGATTTTAAGGTTATCCGTCAAAGACAGGAGTGGCTCAGTATCATAGATTTGGTGTTATCAAAACTAGTACATTGCCCTACAACATACTCATGCTACCAGAAAGTATACAACTCCGAAGCTAGATGGACATTCCGCAAGGTGATGAACTACAAGAGGACTAACCTGGTTTCTTTGGCGGCGGAGTTGTATACTTTCTTGCAACGCGAGTAGGCTTGGTGTGAAATTGTTACCGCTAGGAAGTACATTAAGTATTAAACTTTCAGCTAATGTGCCTTGTCGCTGTCTCCTTCCTTCCATACACGCTTCGATGCTTCTACCTGCAGAAGAACCATGGGCAAGTGCTCAAACATTCACATTTGAGGTCTCGAACTCGTGAGACCTCCGACTTTTTGTCGTTATCTACAGACGGTTCATCTAGGCTCACATCATAACGATACGCAGCTCTTGTGACTCGTGAGTCCTGACCTCTTCTCCGAAGTGTGCATCACTAGGATTTCTTAAAAGGATTTTTCAAGGAGCACAGTGGAGGTTCGCTCCTAGTTTGAGGAGGTTTACTCCTGTATGATATCAAAAGCGACACGCTCCGAAGAAAAGGGCTGGAAGGCTCGATGAACCATATTGCGATCGATCGATGGTTTACATATCTACTACGTGTCGCCGCAAATCCTTCCCCTAAAGTACACATTATATAATTAATCAGACATATTCTAAAATTACCAGGCCCATGTTTTGGGAAGAAAGGTTGATCATATGCCAGGGCGAAAGAACTCTATTCGATAAAGAAAATTAAAAAACCGGGCTAGTGATCGTCATGCATAGACATTAAGATCCACTACCAAGGCGAAATAAAGGGAAAACTTGTTATCTTTTTGACCTCACAGGAAATGACGCCACAGGTAACGGTCCGTATGTGGCGGTGCGTGTGGCCCGAGTTGTCATCTTTCCTTACTGTTATTGGTTGAGAAGTTTAAGGATTGTGTAAAGTAAAATAACGGTAAACAAAAAACCTCTCAAATGCCATGCAAATCATTTGCTGACCACTCGTTCAATTTGTTACAATTAAATTACTAGAGAGTGGATGTCTGATGGACTATACAAACATCAAAGAAATAGATGAAGAAAGACCTCTCGGAGCTTTGCTCCGGTATGTTGGGATTCTCGTTGGAAGTTGCAACTTGTATCAAAATATGGCTACGTCACATCATATTGTTTTAGATATATGTTGCTACCATTCACTCGAGGTTTCCTCGAAATAAATCAATCTTCTATTCTGTATTCACATTAAAGTTTAAACTGTACGACATAGCCACTTGAACCCTATCTTGGCCCTTTGATAAGTCGAACTCAAAATTGTGCCCCTCGATTATCAAGTCTACAATTACATAACACGAACATATACCCTCAACAAACGTCAAACCTCAAAAGCACAGCGCAACACAGCTGCAAATACAGAATGGCACCTTTAATTACAATGCAAAAGTCGCCCGAAAGAGCATTTGCTCTGCAGAAATATCTGCTCCTCCACTCTCAGCATGATGCTCTTCAGAAGCACATCAACCAAGTCACTGCTTCCATCCCCGAGAGTCCCATCGGACAAACCGATCGTCATCGCAACTCTTCTGTCTCTTCAGACTCCAGTGCTGCTAGTGATGCATCCACTTCACCTCTCGGTTCACCTATTCCCAACATCAGCTCCCGCAGGGGCAGTCTCCCACCCTCTTTTGGCCACACGCAACGTTTTCACCGCGAGGAAAGGATCAATTCACTACCAGCGATTGTAGATGAAACAGTCGTTGAAGTGATTGAGGAGGATGAGCAGAAATTGAAGGATGTGAACCAACAAATCAAGACTGCCTTGACTGATCTACTCAACTGTGAGAGTGTGAAGGGCGATATCAGATATAGGAAATGGGTTCAAACACGATTGATGGATACGGAAAGAGAATTGAAGGAGCGCAGAACGAGAAGTTGTGAGAGGAGAAGAAGCGAAGACATGAGTCTTTGAAGAGATCATTGAGATCGAATCATGAAATGGATGACAGGACTAGAGGAATTGATACCCCAATAGAGTGGTTGGTTTAACGGCGGTATTGTATGATTGCTCAGAATGGGTATCGAATATCTACAGAATGGAGACGGTTAAAATGGCGTTTCAGGAGGGGAGGAAGGATCTTTGGCTTTCCGGATTTTATTTGATACCCATACGCTGTTTGTCGCAGCATTATTTCAATTCTATGAATTTTTATGCATTTCTACATACATGTCTTCACGAATGTGATTTGTGATTTTGCAGATGTTGTATGATACTCGGTGAGGCGGAGTATTACAATAGTATGAGTATTCTTCATCTTCATGAATATTCGTAAGTCATGCCCGCAAACAAAAGGGAAATGCTCCGCCTCCTCCACGGGACATCTTATTATTAATCTTTATCTTTATCTTAACCCAACTTTTCGTTTCCTTTCTACTACCCCACTACCAACATCAACAAAAGAAAGTTTTATTAATACAGCCATGAATGTCACTCTACCAATAATTATCGCAGTCTACTTTGTATTAATAAAGATACGGAGAAATTCCAATCGTCACCGTCTAATCCGAATTCCAACCGAGGCAATAATACCTCGAGAATACCAGGTAATGCCGGATATGTCAGCCTGCAAAAACGTTGGAGTTTCAGACTTTCAGTCTCGGATGAAGCAGTTTCCGTCTCGAAAGCATACATTCCAGACGAATTTGATGCAAAACCATCCCATGCTGCTATGCCATCTACTTTCTGAGTCAATAACCCCAGATCATAGGTGAGAAGGAGGTAGGCTATGCTGTTTTCATTATAGAACATGGAACTATTGATGTCCGAGCACTTGTATCTTTTATCTCCGGACGACGTACATTAATAATGGTCGCTTTTCTCAATCTATATTGTTCGTAGATTGTGGTTTTGTATACGAATTCAATTGAAGTTTCATTGCAGAATTTGTTGAGAGAATTTGGTCAGGAAGACATTCTAAATCCACATTTCAAAGCATAGTCGGCTTCGAAGATATGGAGAAGTGCACGGAAGAGAAGATTGCGCCACAGCATAAAAGTGCGTGGTTTGGATTCATCAAGGTATTTTAAATCCTCTTTCTCATATTATTCATATCTTCGATGTCTGGGCAGTGAACAGGACATGCACGGCACATATTTCAGCTGTACGCTGATGGACGACATGCCATCATGAGCTTCCTAGCGTTCAACGGGAATAGCATCACTACACAGATTTACCCTCGAGATAATCATATAAATTCATACTAACGATTACTCCTTAGTCGATAGCAACATTCAAAGGTGACCTGTCAACGCTCACAGCACCTCCATTTCTTCTCTCTCCACAATCAATCGTCGAATTTCCTACCTACTGGGCAGAACACCCATCTCTGTTCATCGCACCCACAAAATCAGAGTCTGCTGAAGAAAGAGCATTATTAGTATTAAAATGGTTTATCAGTACATTGAAGTGGCAGCATAGTAATCGAGATGAGAATGGAAAGAAGAAGGGGATGAAACCCCTCAATCCATTTTTGGGAGAGTGTTTTATGGGTTCTTGGGAGGATGATGGGGAGGGTACCGGGAAAACAGACTTGGTTGCTGAGCAAGTTAGGTAAGTTTCTTTTAATCTGGAAAGAGAAATTGGAAACTATTACTAACAATTGACAGTCATCATCCACCAGCTACAGCATATAATATCTCGAACGAAAAACATGGTGTACAAGTAAATATTCCTGTCTCTTGTTAATTTCATTGTGTCTCATACTAATACTCTCCCTCTAGCTCCAAGGTACCATCGCTCCACAATCCTACTTTAGCTCAACGGTACACATCGAACGAAACGGCTACTCCCTTTTAACCCTCTCTCAACATAACGAAACACACTTGATTACTATGCCGCCTGTATATATAGTCGGCATCATGTCTGGTTCTCTTAATCCTGAATTGAGCGGCACTTCCTACATCCGTTCCTCGTCCGGTTTCACAACTCGAATTTCATATTCCTCGAAAGGCTGGATCAGTGGAACACCTAACACATTTTCCGCAATCATATATAAAGATGGACCTGAGAATACTCCAATTTATAAAGCCGAAGGACAATGGAGTGGGGAGTCCAACATCAAAGACATGAGAAGTGGAAAATGCATATCGCAATTCAATGCGAATTCGTTGAAGAGGAAATCGCTAAAAGTTAAGCCAATCGGTCAGCAAAAGGAGTACGAATCGAGAAGAGCCTGGCGTCATGTTACACGAGCTATTAATGAAAACGATATTTTTCAAATTGGGAAAGAGAAAGGGAAGATAGAGAATGAACAGAGAGAATTGAGAAGGAAGGAAAAGGCTAAGGGGATAGTTTGGGAAAGGAGATTTTTTGTCAAGGTGGGGAGGGATGAAGTTGCGGAACGATTAGCGAATGGTCTAGAGGGATTGAGTTTGGAAAGTGGGGGTGGGATATGGAAGTGGGACAAGGAGAGGTATAGGGGAATGGAGAGTGAGGATACGGAAAGGATGAGAAGAACGGATGATATGAAGAATCCGTCGGTGACAAGATGGGAATCAGGGGTTATGGTTACGGAAGTTAGTGTTTGAATATTGGGTTGGGTAGGATTATATGATGTAAATAATAACGATTACTAGGTAATGAATAAACTAGATCTACTTTTCAGAAATTGCTACAATAGTAACCTTACCCAAAAATGATGTAATAAGAACAGAATAACAAAGTAGATGATTCGTCTCATCTCAAATGACATTTTCTAGTAACGATAGATCTTGTGATCCTCAGTTGAGAGAATGTCACTCCCAACCAAGCTTTCACAACCCCGCTACCAAGCTTTCTAGAATCCACAATCACAAGTATAGAATACGTATTAAGTTCCACAACATACTAGCCACAACCAGCCAATTCGAATGATGCTAGAAATCCTGGAATTCCCGGAGATTCTCTATTTTGAGTACCTATTCAGCCTTGTTTGCGACGGGCGCTTGGAACTGGCTATCTACATACCTACCTAGTCTGAGACCCCTCTTTATGATTTGGTCAAAACTGCCAAAATATGGATCACGTGGACCGGGATTTATTTCGAAGGAAAGATGGTGATGAATGATGATGTCATACCCCGCAATGAGTTGATGGAATGCTGTGAAATGATACGATATGATCCCTCCCGCGAGATCTATCATGACTACCTACTCGTAGGTACCTGGTTATATTATATGGGGAGATAAAATTCAATTCAGCTGCTGTAGTGTTGATATTTGGGAAGGAAAGACTAGGCGGGATACGGTAAGTGGTCCAATGGAACTGTACTAGACCAGACTTCAACTAGCGTTGGTTTAGTAGAAGATAGGGCAGAATTTGGTGAATTATTCAACAAGGGGAATCAAAATGAATCTATCCATAGAATCAGATGGATCTGATTCTGATTGATAGTGGCTCGATTGAATGGAAGCTTGGCTTGATTCGGGGCAGATAGACTGCTTTGGATTAGTACCTATACCCGACAGCCCTGACTGACTCTTTTCTACGGCGTAGTAGTCGGAAAGATTGATTGGCTACAGGTGATCTAAGCCATTTCAACTTTATTATTAACAGAACTCCTTGCTGTATTGTAGTATAATGAATCTACATGTTAATTTATCCTGTGTAAGTATCTTTGGAATGCGAGCTGATTGGCCTTCAAACTGTGTATCCCTGTCCCTGCTTCATAGGGCTAGGCGTAGTGGTCAAAGCTTTTGTTCCTGATTAGAACTTCTTGGTGTATTGGTGTTTATCAGGTGACTTAAAAGCATGAGCATGAGCACAGACCAAACACTCAGTACAACATAAAACTCTCAAGTTTCTCGAACACAAACCAAGGAATGTATCAATCCACAACTATCTTGCAATGAGTTCAATCATGACTTCTCCTAACAACATGCAGTCATTAGCTTTGAATAACTCTGAAAAGGAGCATTCCAGAAATAGCACCTCAAATACCGACGACGACGACGACGACGACGAGATGCCTGTAATTACCAATGACATGTATATTACCGAACTCAAGGAGCGAATTGTCGATCTCAAGGAGCAGATCGCCAATCTCAAGGAGCAGATCGCCAGTCTTCAGAAACAAAATTGCACCCATATGCTTTTTACAATGATTTTGGTTTTCATTGCGTTTTTGCTTGCTTTTTTGCTTGCTTACGCGCTTCATGCAAAGACAGTGAGTATACACCCTCTTCTTCAAAGTATCAGAAATTTCAGACATTCTAATATATCATGTTTTTCGACTTGCCAGTAATACTTCATCTCAATTCGATTAGCGGTTCGTCATTTGCATAGGTATGCGACTTGCATACACTTACAATAATACGACATTACGGCATTTACGATAAAAAACGAAGGTTCAGGATACGAATGTATGAATAGCAATGGATTTATGGTGGACGGAGAGTTTGCTCTTTGAAATACCCAGATATGGAGTTATGGTTGGCGCAAGGAGAATTTTTTTTTACCTTTTTCAACACTTATGATCTGGAGACATGAGTGGTTGGTGAGGGTTTCTTGATACCCCTAGGTCAATATAGATGTCAGGGGCAGGGGTCTTTGGGGTTTAAAAGACACACGAAGGCCTTTGATCTTGGGATTGTCCATAGCTTACCAAATCCACATACATACATACATACATACATACATACATACATACATACATACATACATACATACATACATACATACATACATACACACTAGCCACTGTGCGATGTTCTTCCTCTGAAATTGACCACGAGTATCATGCAGAAACCGCAAAAAGAGCTAACTGCTAATCTATTCAAACCAGCAGACATCAATGAAACTGGGAATTCTGTACTTTCTACGCGTATGTCAGAAACTGATTCTACGAGACTTGGCAGAGATACCAGGCGCGGGTTTAAAATCTAGAAGCCCCATGTTGTACAAATGAAAGTTTCTATTTTTAGTCGCGGGGTCTCGAAACGCGAGGATCTTTGACTAGCGCAAGGTGTCACCCCGATTTATTTTTATGCAAACCCGGATTTGACTCTCAATATTTCTTTATTGATAATTAAATATCGTCTCTAATAATTGCATCATATCCGTTTCCATTATTAGGTAATTTCCTGTCGCTTTTCGGTGAATGATTTGTTGCACGATCCAAGTTTTGGTTAGGAAAGTTCCTTACCCAGTATTTGGGGTCATGACGTCATGAATCTGCATCACAAGTTACAATTTGGATAAATAAGCTCAAAGAACCTCCCTTAACTTACCATCATCATCATCATCAAGAAATCCAACAAACTCACAACTTTATAGCTTCACAACAAACTCACAAATAAATTAATCAACAAACAAACTACAACATCAACGCAAATATGTCTGACAAGAACACCTCAACTCTTCAATCATACATTGATTCTGCTTCTGGCGCAGCTCAATCGGCGCTTGGTTCTATTACTGGTAACCCTGCTGATAAGGTATGTTTTCTCTCTCATCTATCTCAATTCCTTCCCATATCTCCCACTCCCAAACAAACACACAACAAACACCCATACTAACCCCACCACCTAGCACGCCGCCGCCCAAAAACACGACGAAGCAGCCCTCAAGCACGACGCCTCGCACGCCGGTTTCTCCGCCGGCGGCATCAGCGCCTCCTCTTCCGGTGCCGTAACCAAAAACGATCCTGCGCGTCAAGAAGGATCCTGGAACCAGACGATCGGATCAGGCAAGGAATTTGTCGGGGGAATCCTCGGAAGCGAGGAGATGAAGAAAGATGGTCGCGAACAGAATGCGGCGGGCAGAGGCCAGGAAGCCCAGGGTCAATTGAATGATTTGGGCAGTGGGGTGAAGAATAGAGTGCAAGGTAGTGTGGGGGGTGCGGTCGCGGGTGTCATGGGAGATAGGGAGAAGGAGGAGGCGAGGAGGGAACAGCATGATGTGGGGAAGACGCAGCAAAGGGGGGTGGAGAGTGAGTTGGAGAGACAGAACAAGTAAATTTGTGGGGATGGAGAGTCAGATGGAAGGTTAGATTGATACCCTGTGAGATGGATAGATGGATGATGCATGCATGGCTTAGGATTCGGTACTAGGTTTTTTTTATTGGGATCACGCGGCCGTAGACGGATCGATGTATTATGAAGAAACGAATAAATGAATGAAATTGCATGGTTTTCAAATTGTCTGAACAGTAAATCATCAAGCAAACCTCTGTTTTGTTGGATGCGTGAAACGGTAAATATAATGTTTATTCGCATGCCAGTCATACCTGTCAAACATATCTGTCAGTTTGGCAGCCAGTCAGCCCCGTCAACAAATAAAGGAAAACGAATATGTGTGTGCGATGAATTCTATATAAAACCACCCACTATCCATTCATCTCAACCTCAAATCCCCTTCTCTATCTACCTAGCATCCAATCCCTCTCACGCACCAATCGCGCAATTTCATTCTCCACATTCCACCAACATGCGATCACTCATCCGTGATGGTCAAAACTCGAAACTGTTCTCGTGTGCTGTTCAATCATCAAATAAACCACGTGTGGTCCTCCCTCTGATTTTCTTTCTCTCGCAACAATACACATCTACGGAAGACATTTTCTTCTTCTATCACTTAAATAAATAATTGAATGAGTCAGTCAGTCATGAGAATATTTTGTACATACATACAAGCATCTAAATATGTAGTAGAATCTAAATTTCGTGTTCATGTTATTTACCATCGCTTTCTTCACTCATTGAGAAGATTGAATATAAATGCCCATCACAGAATTTAATTCTAATTCCAAATGCAATGGCAACTCTTAACTACATTACCCTCAGACAATGGAACGGATGAGATGCGTTATAAACAAACGTACATTATATTTTTATACAGGGGGTAAAGGATGTTGATCCACACAGCAGAAAATGATGATAGACCAGCAAGCCAACCCAACTCTCACACTTGATCTATATTTTCTTGTCGCGGTTACTGTCGCTCTCTCAACCCCTAGCATAATCTTGCGTGTATTTATGAAATTTTAGTAGCACAAGCCCTCGCCATCCCAGAGGAATCCATCTCATACATTCCAAAATACAAAATGTTGGCTCACCCATCCTTCTTACCTAGGGATCATACATACAATCAAATAATATTTGTCGCATACACATTATCAAGATATACCAATCACACTGCAAACTAACAGTCAATATTAAACGGGACAAAAATCCAGAATGTTGACATTTCAAGAAGTGAGCTAAACACGCAAAGACACTTTAACCTACCTTGTGCCACAGTGCAAGATGCTTATCTATAAGCTCACAGATACATTTCCAATAGATATCCAACAAAGAAGAATGCAAAAAGTTCACCACTCATGACTACATGAGTGGCTACATCTTTACCAAGGCTAACTACCTGGCTGCTAATACGGTGGATTCAACTAGAGGATCCATGGTTGGCCGCGGTGGGGTACCAGCCCCGAAGAATCCACCCTTAGCTTAATAATATTTTATAATTACTACGTTTTGTATTAATTTATAAGTTACCTTATAAATTATACGGTCGCCTTGGGTTTGGCGATATGCATAGGATTATGCGTTTCCTCTTTCGTCTTCTTTTTTTGTCGGAAGTCGAGTCGAGTCCCATACCGTTAAGGCATGGGTGCCTTCGTTATGGCGAAAGTCATTGCGTTGTCACAGTATATATGCGAGAGCGAAGTAGTGAATGCATGGTTGCTGTGGTATGTCATTGACAAATGAGCTAGTGAGTCGATGGGTTCGGATGAGAGAAGGATTGTAATGAGTTAGATATTGGAGAGGTAATCGATCCACCTGCACCCGTATAGTCTCCGGTGAATAGGTTGATGTGTTTGATAGCTTTCCTTTGAGGGTGTTTGTAGAATCTGCTGGCAAGACTGCACTGAATCTTTATAGGACAGCTGTGGAGAAGATTGATATGATAACTTCACCATGCGAAACTTCTAACCGCCCATGGCAATCCGAGTCCGATTTACAGGTGACTGTTATATATAGCAGGCTGGAGTTCACTAGGTCGTTGTGGTGAATGATAGTCTGGGCTGAATGTGGAGATTATCAGTCGCATACCTCGAAACAGGCAACTTCAGCGGGAACGCGTCTCGCCACAACTTGGTATCAAGATACATTCAAGTCAATGACGAGTCTTGTTCTGATACCAGATATGATGCTATTTGTGTTGCGCTTTTCGCTTACTAGCCGAGCTGTATATCACGGAAATTTATCATCCTTGACGGTGTTTACTCAGACTTCCAAGGTTGTGAATTTTCCTTTTGTGTGGCTGAGAGTGGTGAGGATACACAAACCATTGCGGATCTGAGCTTCAAGCTTCACTACCCCTTATAAGGCTTATTTCACGTTGCTGATGCGGAGGTCCGTGTATAAGGGTAAGATCAAGCTGCGCTTGTGGGGTTAGTTGTGTATCCGAAATGCGGAAGAGGCTTATGCCGGAAACGTGGCATCTAAGCAGTGACTGCGACTAGCTTCATCTAAAAGCTCGGGTAAATACTTACCCGATCGAGAATTGATACGATGTCCCCTCTCTGTCATACTATCCAGCCTCGGCGCGATTGGTGATTGGTGTACTTTCGAGTGAAAGCATATTGTGCCGATTTGTTATAATAGTGTCGATTACCAGATCGTGTATCTGAGGCTGGCAGTGTCGGTCACAGCTTCATCCATGAGGCCCAGATATATATAGACCCAAACTTTGTTGACTCCTGGATCATTCGAAACAGTCCACACCAAAACTTAGGAAATGATGTATTCTTCAACTTGAGAATCACAATATTCTGGAGAGTTAGATCCCCAACCAGTAGGAGTTGAATTTCCGATTGTTTGAACTCTGTATACCACATGGTTGGGCGAAGAGGGGGCACGTTTCACAACTCAGAGTGGGATATATATGTTGCAAAATTGCAAATCAATGCCACTGTGCCTTCTCCCTGAGAAGGGGACAAGGTCCGGCTAGAACCTTACCGGTAGTGATCATTAGATGATTGGCAATGAGTATCGTCCAACCCGAGAGATTTTAAGCACAAAATAGCCATGCAGTTGATACCAGCTAGGCATCTCCTGTGGGATTCGCGATTGATTGACTTGATACTACAGAGGCCCCACTCGGTGTTTCCAGATATGGAAATGATTTTCTGTCTGCGTGCAGGTACAATTCTCCTGTGTGTCTGATACTTTCGGATTGCAAATTCCATGCGATTTGGTATGATTTGTTAAATGGTCTTGTCAACTTTCTGGAGACTTATGGTGGGAGTCCAAAATTCAGAGCCTCAAACATTGCACGGATGACACCTCGGCAACACGGCACCTGCTCCCCGCAGATCGGTCGCTTCCAGTCCATATTTCGGGACGAAGTCGTTTATGTGTGAAGAACCTCATCTTCGATCCCATCTCAATTCAAAAGCAACAATTGGCGAGAGGGAGTAAGAGTCGCAAATTAATCCTAATCTGACATCGCCACATTTCGGGATTTGGATCTGGCTGCCATACTGATTCGGAGCAGCCGGGAGGGCGCTTTGCATGATGACTTAATATGTAGGGGGTGATAGGAAGAGCAGAAGAAACTGTGTATGGAATAAGTGAAAGTATGTGTTACAGCGAATGACATATCACGCCGTATTGATAGGTAGTAATACCAATGACCAAGAAACGTCTGACTTATCTTAGGAAAATTTTAGGTAGTACTCGTGCAATCTACCTCCCTTCTTGAGATAACCAGGTCTCATCATTTGGCTTGATGTATGTAGGTACGTTTGAACATCGAATCTTGAAGTTTCTCGGAAATGTTGTATGACTTTAGGACCACATGGCCGGGAAATGATGCCATTGTGTGCAATGACCTGAATGCATGGACAATTGTATGAGGTCGTGTAAGGTCTGATGAACTGATTTCTCAACGCCCAAGAGAATCTAAGTGAATCTAGATGCTAGAACTGTTGATACAAAACCTTGTGTTTTGATAATGGGTCGTATGAATAGAATGATTTCTTACGCTGATGAGGATTCCCGGTGATACAAAAGTTTAGGATATAGAATTATCAAAGGGAAGAGGCTAATAAGGTGATAATGAGGGAAGATCGGATGGAAAGGTCCAAAACTTGCTTTTTCTTTGACACCACACGAGGGAGGATATTGATAAGGATGATTTTGATTTGCCAAGACCGGTCAGTCATGTCGGATCACATGAGATGATGGAAAGGAAAGAAACAATCTTCACTCCCAGAGGGACCTCCCCAGGTTGGTCCGATGGATTGTGTGGCTTTATGTAGGGATCCCGATTAAGTAATTCCGCATCTTTCATCATTTTCCTAATTGGTCAAATATATTCTTTGAAGGGTTTAGTAAGCAGGTGAGGAATGACGTCGATCCTTGTTTTTTCCCGTAATATTTCGTCATAGTTGGACATCAATACGGTAACACTGCCTAAATAGGAAAAAAGGATCATAAATTTTCGTTTAAGCACAACATGTTGTCTCCCTTTTATGCTTCATGGCAGCAAAGTATATAAATGCCTACCTGATGCAAAATAGCTGATTAATCATCGCGGTTACTGCTATCTACGTAGATATCTAGGTAGCATTCTTCACGTACAGCACATATCCTTCACATACTAGGTCATCAAAGTCCTTCACAATCACAACAATAAATTAGTCATGGAATCTCCCGAGGACCGGGTGGACGTTACCAAACGATTTCTCGAGATTCAAGTTAGCTGAAACATTCCTAAGGATGAAAGGAAGAACCTTAGAGGTTCTTGATAAGGTTCTTCCATCGACCTTAGCATGCTCGTATCACCATGAATTCAGATTGGTTCGGAGTCTAGAACAATCCCTGGCTCCTTGCTATCGAGCTATTCTGATGACTACTACGGACGCACTTACCAGATAGATCAAAGGACCGGGTAATGATTAATCAAAGTGACACTTGAAACAGCTGGTCACCGTGCTGGCAAAACTTCACGCCAGTTTGTTCTCATGATAGATATTCAGAGATTCAATCTGCGGTGACCAACAAGAGTGAAAAAAGGCTTGGGAGAGAAGGACCCTACTTGCTACATTGACCTAGAGATAACCGTACCCAACACACCATACGATTTAATAATAGAATGGGGGTTGCAAAAGAAGTACTGCGACCCCACCATCACCCACCAAATTCATTCATTCATCCATCCTAACATCCATCCTAACATCCACTTCTAGGGATGAAAGATCCGGAACATCATGTTCAACTTCCATTCTTTCATGATATTGATCTCTTCGGGGCATGGGCACCCTTTTCTTGTACCCCTCTCCGTAACTCCTTTTGGGAAGAGAGAAAGAAGGAAAAGAAAAGAGGAGACAGGAAAGAGAAGAGAAGGGAAGGCAAGGCAAGGCAAGGGAGACAAGAAAGTAGATGAATAGGAGGGGAAAAACAAAAGAATAGTCCTCCAAGTCGAAAGATTTTGATGAATCATCCGACAGATATTAACTAATATTCAATATCCCAATGGAATCCTCCGTGCTCCAAAGTCAAAGTCAAAGTCTGAACACACCGAAGCTACCTCGTAGATAGATAGACAGATGATTACTTCCAGTCTGCCTGTCACAGGTAGTAACTGGTTCATCCAAATTCTCTCTCATCTGACTGGTTGGCTTGGTCAGTCTGGTCAGATCTGGTCTGGTCAGGTCTAATCACATTGGTTTTCACTATCCGGACATCAAACATATTTGTACACCAACACAAGACAGACGTGGATTCGGACCTCGAAAGATGGCAATATATATACCTGGGTGCCCAATCGGTACGATTTGTTAAATTCCTTGTTAAACTCCAAGATTTGTACCAAGATTTGTACCGAAACCCAACCAACATCAAGGATTCCAAGCCTTTACCACAATAAATACAACATTGGGCTTTGTTGTGGGGATTAGATTTTCCGAGGGACCATTTTCCCACATCCATCAACACATTCACCTCACAACCAACATTCACCCGTCCACTCACACTCGAGAACACACCTTTTCTACACATACAAAGTACCATTCTTACCATTCTTACCATCCACATTCACGTCTTTGAGGTGAAAAAGAATTACCAATGACCAATTAAATCGACCTATCTACCTACAGACCTTGAATTCTCTCATATCCCCACTTCTAGCAAGATTTAGACGAAGGAAAGATATTCTATTCTACCCGTCTTCCATTTCATTCAACCCTGCCTTGACCTTCCACCCCACCATCGCGATCTGAAGCAAGTAAACCCACTCACTGAACAACTTTACAACAAAAAAATTGCTACACACCATTTCACGATCTGTTGAGCGACAACTTTTGTCGTTCGCACATTAAATTAATCCTCACAATGTCCTCTTCTACTTCCACTCCTACCCCAACACCAGCGCCAAAGACGGTACCAGTCGCACCTAAACCCGAACCGGTCAAAGAAAAATCGCCCGTTCCTGTTATCCCACCACCCAAGGAAGTCGTCGTTGAGGAACAAGATGATGAAAGGGTAAACATTTTCCTTGCGCATTGCCTGACCACAAGTTTATTAATTTCATTAGAATGAAACTGACTTTAGCGCAAAACAGAGTGACGATGGGTCCGTTGGTCTACCAGATCTCGGAGAGAATATCGATTCGGCCACATTCGAACAAATTCTAGAGATGGACGATGATGAAGAAGAGCGGGAGTTTAGCAGTTCTATCGTTTTCGGATTCTTTGAACAGGCTGAGCAGACTTTTGTCAAGATGGACGATGCACTGTAAGTGGGGCTCGTATATTTGTGTCGACTTGTACAATATATTCAGGAAGATGGGCATCTGCGGACGCAGACATAAATGCAAGTACTGACAATTTGTAGCAAGGAGAAAGATTTAGCAACGCTTTCATCGCTCGGTCATTTCTTGAAGGGCTCCTCGGCAACACTGGGGTTGACAAAAGTCAAGGACAGTTGTGAGAAGATTCAACACTATGGACAGCAGAAAGATGAAGCTGGTACAACAGATGAACCCGACAAGGAGAAATGTTTGGCGAGAATCAAGGAGACGTTGGTTTCGGTGAAGGAGGAGTACAAAGAGGTTGAGAAGGTCTTGAAGAAGTTTTATGCCACTTGAAGGACGGCCATATGCACACATACCCCCTCAAAAAACCCCCGATGATGGAAGATTGTCCTCGTGCTTGAGGATATCTGATGTGGCAGAAGTAACCAAAAGTATTGCCTATCTGGGCTCTTGTGACGACATTGAAGTTCACACGCACGAGCAGTATACTTCTCTTACAAAACAAAGCTCCCCATAGCTCAGGCGTCTCGGATTGCATTCACATACTTTATGTTGTCTGGAAATGGCATACATGGTTTTCTTATGGTGGTTTTCTCTTTTTCTTTTTATTGGTTCACATGAGGGAAATGTTTTTGTTTGTTTCTGTTGGCTTCTCCTTTCCCCCTCGAGATTATCTATGGATGACGGAAGTTGAGGAGGAATTTTAGTTAGATGAGGTGACGAGGTGATAGTTAACCAGATTTAATGTCATGGTTACTCAGCACATGAAGTCACGACAGACGCATCAAATCACAAGGTTCAATTCTTCCGAGACCTTGGCATTTAATGATGTACATTGCATATTAAAAGTGATTTGGAGATGCGGGGCACAAGATAAGATGTGGGAAAGAGAGGCTACCCATGGTTTCAGTCTCAAACACCTTTTTTCAAAGACAATGATACTTGGTATTTCCTCTCTTGCACTTCCACTTATCGCAGAATCTACAGAGCTCATGTACCGCAATCTTTTTTAATGATATACCTAGCTCCGTTATTCCTCGGCGCCACTCCTAATGCTATAGATTTTAATATAGATGCTTTCCATAAACACTGACACACAATGCAACTAGCCACTCAAATACAAGGTACCTCGATCTCAGCCTCCACCTCATACTCCTCGTCCCCATCTCCCTTCTTCTTCGCCCCCATCCTACAAATCGCCACTTTCTCAACCCGTACATCGCGCATCCATGTGAAATCCGCATACTTGGAAATGGTATCCCGTGCATCAAACGTGAGACGTGCCTTGTGCTTGCCATGGCCCGAGGAACTTCCTCCTCTCCCTCTTCCTCGATTTCCACGTGCATTCCCGGTCCCTGTCTCTCTCGTGTCTGCGCTAGAATCCTGACGTCCCCCGCGCACGTAGATTGTATTGACAATCGTCGCGTGCAGTAATAAGCTTCGTCCTTGTTCTTCGGGCAGCATGAACCCGGCGGTTGTGAAGGCGTCTTTGAGGGATTGACAGAAGGTTTGGAGATATGAGTGCGGATCTTGGGGGGAGGTGTAGAGAATGGATGTAGACCAGGGTTGGTGCATTGGGTGGAGGGAGGTGAGTGTTATTTTGGGGAGTTGGATGTCTTTGATTTCTGTTTTGATTTCTTTGGTGCGATCGTTTTCTTTCCTGGGGACTAGCGTAGGGGAGGAGAATATTCCTTGCAGAAGGGAAATGGCGCCTTGAATCCGCTCTGTGCTTTCGAGACTCATGACCCCGATGGTGAGGTGGAGGGTGGAGAGGGGACGGATGGCATCTGAGGGGAAGGGAATCCGGTTGGGCTGTTCGTCGGTGGGGGGCGTGGTGACGTCGTTTTTGAAGGTGCGGAGGGAGTGTTGGAGTTGGGGATGGGAGGAGGGGGTCGTGAGGGGGATGCAGAGGAAATGCGTTAAGCGGGGACGGGGGGGTTTAGGGGGCATGTTTTTTTCTTTTTGGGGGTCTCTTTTTTGGCGAAGTAGATAATATGATGAGGAGGAGGGAGGGAGAGTTTAGATTTTAAAATTATCTAGATATGACCAGGCAATCAATGAGTGTGGTGATGGGAATGGGAATGGGAATTGGAAGACCGGATTCCCAAGATGTTGATTATGGAGAAGTCTTTGGGATTAGATCGATTTTGGTGTGGTATTTGTGCATGTGTGTGACATACCTACCTATGATCGCAACCCCGCAGTCTCACTCGCAATCTGGAATTTGACGTCAAAAATCTTATCTTTGAATATCTACGATATACCCTTTCCTGATGGTTTGGAAAAGGAATAGAAATGATTTGAAACTCTCTCTTATCTTCCCTCAGGATGTATTCCAAAATATAGGTATATATTCTTAAGCTCTTACTCGTTACATACATAGGTAGGAACACACATATATATACTCAATAACCAAAGTCCCGATATTAATTCATTCACACCCACCACTACTCAAAACTGCAGATCTCCCGTTAACCCCTCACTCATAATCAATCTCACCTATGATTGATCTACTCATCCATCCATCCACCCATCCATCCAATTTCAAAACAAAACGCATACACCCGCTACCTCCCACCCCCCTCAAGAAAGAAAACCAGTCTATCCATTCCTTACAAATCGAGCACCTAGCGCTTAACAAATAATACAGAGCACAATTGATTCCCTACGTCTACCCAGGAAATTGATGCATCCATCCATCTATCAATCCATCCCTCATCGCATCTCATACTTCCAGGCAGCAGAATAAGAACCTCTCATCTTCCTTCATTTGATCAATCTGAAGAAATTCTCTCCACCACACGAATATTCATTTGTTTCGCTTTGCTCCGTGGGCAAGGTAGGTAGAAGGGTTCATTTCGTTTCGGGATTTCCTCTTTCGATGATTTGGTTTGTTTATTTGTTTTGATTTTCGTGGGTTTGGTTTTTCGGAAGACGTTCTTCTTCATCTTCATCTTCTTTTCATGAAGAGATTATATTGTATTCTATCTTATCGAGGATTGTTGAGAAGCAAAGGATATTTGGGGTTGAGTTGTTCTTTACCCATTTACCTACCTACTCACTAGGTATCTAATTCTCAATATGCCCTCTTCATTTCTATCTCATCTTTTGCGAATTTACTAGTTTTCTGTGAAGAGAGAAAGATTGAAAAATCCCACTTACGCGATACACGGAGCTACCTACCTTTCTTCACCATCTCAGCTCTCACACCGGTAGGCATCCATCTATCCACCGATCTAGATATCTAATTGAAACTGCATACGAAATATTACGGTATTGGTATAACACTGTACCTATTCACGAGGTACAAAACGTCTCATTCATCTATTCATCAAGTACCCATCTAGCCATCTATCTAGAAAAAAGAGGATTTCATCCTCTCCAACCACAACCCGCAAAAATGAGCGCCAGAGAAAAGAAACACGCGCCGAAACCCTCATCTTCTCGAATCGATCTTGCGCATTCGCTTGCGCATCGCGCTGCATCCTCTTCCATATCTATCTCTGGGTCTGGATCTGGATCCGGGTCTACAAATACAAAATCCCAAGGAGGAGATTATGATTACCTCCCTTGTACTTCTACAACATCGCAATCGCAATCTTCCTTGGCGGAAATAACCGCACCACCACGCGTTCGACTCTCTCACCCTAATCCGCAATCAACCACTCATTTCCATCCACTTCCACATTCTCGATCGCGCTCACGCTCACGCTCCAACACACCCTCGCCCCCCTCCCACGAACCCTACGACGAAGAAGACTATCCCCCCAACCCTCATCCCTCAACTTCAGACGAAGAATCAGAATCAGAAGAAGAAGAAGAACCTCTCCCCCCCGACTCCCAAATCCACAATCTAACCACCACACTCCTCCACACGCGCGAAACCCTTCATCTTCTACAAAATGCGCATTCTACCCTCCACACCAATTACCTAGCCACCGATTCCCAGCTGCGCCTCCTCCGATCCGCGCATGCGAATTGTCCCAGTGCGGCTGAGGTGCAGAGTCGTGTGGGAGCATTGATGTTGGATCGGGATGCGTTTCGCGAAGCGTATAATGATGCGATGGGAGAGATGAGGGGGAAGGATGAGGAGATTATGGCGTTGAGGGGTCAGGTGAGGGGGTTGAAGGAGTGGGTGAGTAGTAGTGGACGGGGCGGGGTAGGAGGGGAACAGGTTACGGATGAGGTGGTTGCGGAGAAGATGCAGTGGATTGGGAATGCGTTGCAGAATTGGGTGATATCGAATTTTAGGAGGGGAAGAATTGGTACGTTTGGAGCTTTATTTTGACACGGCTATGTTGGGAGAAATTCCATGAGCGCATATTGAGCAGGAAAATGTGTGAATATTGTATTTTTATTGACAATGTGGTAAAGTAACGTGTTAAACTAAGCTGACTTGCAACAGATTTAGAAAAGGCTTCAGATGAAGTACGGCACGAGTTGGAGCATTGGGTACCCATGTATCAGCATCTAGCAACATCATCTAAAATTAACTTCATACAATCCCTTGTATCAAGTATATTAGTGTTTGATATCTTCCGAGCATACTTTGTCGGTCTCCCAGAGCAACAAGCCATGGAAATTGCGAGAACGGAAATAACTTTAGGTTCTTATGGTGAGAAAAGCCATCTGATTGTTAGTCGGAGTTTGAAGAGCTGATCGAAATGTAAAGGTCCCGAAGATGCAATGAACCAATGGCGATCTACGACGCTCGGGATTTTGCTGAAAGAAGCTCCTGAAAAGCTTAAATCGGAGACCACCACTGTTGTCAATACCGTTGTTGCGCAATTCAATAGTTTGCTGGATCCGATATTTGATGTCCAAAGTACTGAAGCTAGAGATCAGTCGCTGAAAACCATAATTAATGCCGCTATTGATCTTTCACGATTACTGCGAGTTCAAAAGGCAGTCTTTAGTATAATGATGCCCATAATTGAGGAACATCAACAAACGATGTTTGACGAGGAGAGAATGGAAGATATTGGGGGGGAAGATGAAGATACTTTGAACGAGCGAGAAATTAGCTGCGTGACGTTTCCTGGAATCATGAAAGCAGGGGATGAAAATGGAGAACGAAACCATTTGGTGAATATTGTTGCGAAGATGAAGGTGCTTTGCGCTCCTGATTGATGGCTGAGGAAAAAAATCACATCTTGATGACTGATTACATATGAAAAGATACCCACGGAAGAGGGTGGAGAACTAATCTCTGCTACGCCGCCATGTGACTCGTGTCTTCATGCAATGGGCATGGAAAGGCATGAGTGATAGGTTGGGCTATATCTTCAGATAATAAATCCAACAGATATACTGGAAGAGTTGTGACAATTCCAGCAAACAAACATACATACATGTGCATGTATACGTGTACCCAATATAGGATCGCACATGATACCAGATACCGTGATTAACCGTCGAAGATCGTCGTCTTCACATGCAACCAAGTAATAATTCCAGTTTCCATCGTAGCTCGAATTCGAAAGCGGGGTCATTGAGGCTCTGTTGCTCACTAAGCAACCTGTATCCTTCAAAATCATTGGTAAGTGCGGGGTTAAGGAACGAGCCATGCGAGGATAACCAATTTTCAATGTATATGCGTGGAATTTACCCACAACTTTGCATATGGCGTATGTGTTTGCGTCAATGTTTTGGATTTATGATTGACGATAACCTTGATACCGAACCTGTGATCTTCCCGAGCAGTAGTTGTGGTCATCAATTTGGCTGCTTTCATGGTCTCTCGAACTCCAAATCAGGAGATTGCAGCACGCACTGCAGGTGTCGTATTCTTTCTCGAAAGGTAGTGCATTGGAAATAAATCTTGGCGATAACGTATGAACTCTACACGAGTTCATGTATCGATGGTGGTGAGAAAGTCATGTCACAAAAGAAGCCTCTTGTATTTGGAGTAAAGGTAGAAGCTAGAGACTATGTTAGCACTAGACAGAACTCCCTAAATTCAGTTGGCTTTAATGATATGCAAACGAGTGATGTATGAAATAGATGCCGCTTGAACATGAGTCAAAGACCATGCTCAGTCGGCCGAGTATACATAAACGTCGAATAGGAATGTTGAGAATGTGCTGCCGTAGCTCGTTTGAATTGGTTGTGGTCTGATGATCCCGCATCCCTAGGAAATAATTTTCCCTCACCTCCTCATCAGCATGGTTTTTGTATGAGTTATGCTCATTTCATAGTATGAATGCGCAATCAAGAAGCGGTGTGGGGTTGCGTGGGTGAACTGGTCGATAGCTATCGTGGAACCCTTTCTCAAGAACCACTAGATTTGTAGGAAGGTCGGGAAACTACACGCAGCAAATGCAAGAGCAATTTGTTGCATGCCATCGCATCATATCGCTCCGGTAATTCAAATTCGCATGATTCATTTGTTTGGGTGAGAGTTCGAAGTATGTATGCACACGATTTTGCTTACAGGATCGATGTGTAACAACCCCAAGATACATGTTATCCTTGTATAGATGCGTGGGATGTGGGATGCGGATGTGTTGTAGCTTGAGATTGTGGATGCTATGTGGTCGAGTTAAGGGCCGATGGAACCTTTGCTCGCGAAGTGACGAATAGTTGATAGTTTCACTGGAAAACGATTTGTTTCCTGTCCGTAAGAGGAAGTAGAAGGAAAGAAGCGATGCAAGAAATTTTGGAAAGAGAGAGATATTCCGAACGAAGTCCATGAAGTTTGAGCCTCCGTGCTAGAGAGATATTTAAGTGGGTGGGATCAAGATTTTGACTTGCTTCTTTAATAACTTGTGTCCCCTCCGCCTTCAATTTGCTGTGGTCAGCGACTTGACCAAATATCATCCACATCTTACTTCTTCTCAAAGTAACGACTTTATCGAATAGATACTGACCGATCTTTGCTTTCATCCCTCGAACGAAAAGAACGATACTTCGATTGTCGGATTTGGTTTGCAAATTATAGTTGTTGTTGTTGTTGTTCTTCGTAAAAGACCAGCAGCCGTTTGTTGCACCAAAACCTGGGGAAGAGAAGCGGAACCACAAAACTTTCACGGCACTTGGTTAGAGCTCCTCCCGAGCTTGTCGAAGTCAATTCCCAAAGTTTCCCCGCAAATATAAATATCGCGAAACATTTTCAATCCCTAGCATAATTACCTAAGGCGATAATTACCACTCAAAATAACTAAACTTCAGATCAGACTTCCAGTTCCAGGTCAGTATATGTTGACTTTTCATTTGGACATAGAAAGCTGTTCCCATAAATCTCATATCTCGTCGTTCTCATCGTCTTCGGTCCTCGATCCTGACACTCGTCATGTAATTTAGGGGTTCGTTCGTTTGTTTCCAGTGATCGACAAGCCTGTTCTTATCTTATCGACGCTCCACCTTTCCCTTCACTGTCAACCTTACCCATCAAATCCATCATTTGTATTCAAGAACCTTGATCATTATCATCAAAGCGGGCAGTTTCCAAGATTACTTCTTGACCTGCAAACGTTGATATAAGATGGCAACTTACGATGATGCACCCATTGACCGCTACCTCAATGACTCCGAAGATCCTTTCGCAGGTCTGCTCTCAAGTACACATCGTCTTCCCCGACAATTCGCAAATGAAGCGTACGATGCCTCAACATGCTCGACTATCAGCCAAGATTCCACATCAACCATATCGCCCTGTAGCGAAAACGACGAAAGTGTTTTTAGCATGCAGTCTCGAGGGTCATACACAACAGCTACCAGTCGACAATCCATTCAATCCAACCCTGTTGCTGGATGGAACCTCCCAATACCTCAAATCTCTCAAATCAACACTACCATTGTCCTTCCATGCGAATTCATATCGATAAATTGTGGAGTAACATTTCGTCCGGATGATTTCGACAACTGGCTTGCGCATAGCCTAACGCATTTCAAAAACCTTCCTCCTCCATCGAAATGCTTCTGCCTCTTCTGCGATAAAGAATTCGAAGACACCAACGATTCGCGTGGTAATTGGGGGGATAGAATGATGCATAGTCGTGATCATTTCCTTGACGGGAAAACAAATATTCGACCAGACTTTTCGGTAATAGAATATATGTGGAGGAATAATCTGATGAATGATGCGGATTACACTTTGGCTGGACAATATACCGAACGTCCATTAGTACCGAGTCTCGTACGGAAAGGATTTGAGACGCCTGAATCAAAACTCAAGCGGGATAGAGAGTCTAAAGTTCCATGCGATCTGCAGAAGGAAGAGCGACATCGCAAACGTTCGGGCCAAGCACACAAAGGGCAAGAAAGACAGAGCTCAACTTTCTCAAGGAAGCACATGCCAGTATCGATCGAGCATCCAGAATACACTCGAATTCTCTAGCTTGCTACTCACACGCAAAAGACTGTCCTTCCAATCCCAAAGGAATATTTGGGAACCTATGCGACCTTATATTCACAATCCCGAACGATCTGTGGCTGTGCAGAGGGCGAATTCTGCCACTTATCTCTCCAGGGGCCGTTGTTTTGAGTTCTTCGTATTTTGTGTTATTCAAATGTTCTCTCGCCAAATGAGTGAATTTATATGCGGGTTCCCATTTTGATGCAGGAACACAGGCGCTCACCGTTCGCCTCTTCGACAGGGCGTATCTGCTCGTTGCCTAAGCACGGTAACCTTGACCCAATAGGACACCGAGTGGGACCGACCAATAATCTTTTTTGATTGCGCAGCGTTAGGGTTTTATCGGGAGTTTTGTTTTGTCCCTTTCGAGATTTTTAAATTTCGCGATGCTGGATCATGGTCGAAACGAAAAGTCTCTTGAACGATTTCTATACCCAAATGTGATTCTTTCTTCCTTGCTTTCTTTCTCTGTTCCTAGGAGGTGCATATATTTATATGCTATACGTTTTGGATTATGATGATGAACAACACTTCTCATGATTTATGTTGATGTCGTTATGAATAAATAGTATTTCACCAGCAATTTTTGTCTCTTCTCAATCGTGCATATATGTGCGGGGTTTGCTAAGCATTCTTCGGTGTCTATAAATGGTAAGGCATATTCTCAGGGAAATAGTTCGATCGGATGTCATCTTGTCATCCTTCTAGGCAGATGAATGAGAGACATTGAACGCGTCCAGGAAACAGTGCATTCTGATATCTTACTTGGGAAAGTATTCCAGCCACTCAACATCATACCTATGTGTTGGATAGATTAGATCGTCAAATAATCATGCATGGGAAGTATTTGGGGGAAGCTTATGTTGTAGGGCGAACAGCGACAGCCTCACATACTGCATTAGCGGTAAATCCCTTGTCACCATACCACCCGGAGTGGACATTTTAAAGCCATCCTAATCTCCCAAATTATGGCCTTTCCAGCCATACTCATCTTACAAATGAAAGCGCTCAGTGATCTCGCGTCTACAAATTATCACGGCTTTGTATCCTCATTTTTTGTAAAATACAACGGGCTGGCTATTTTGCCCGAGCCTAGCCTACGTATCTAGGGTTTCAACCCGGCCACGAATTTAACCTTATGTACAGACTTCACACGTCAGACCTTCTAGAAGCACATTGGTCTTCTCAATTTTCATTGCGGTACCTTTTCATCATGCAGTGTAACATGAGATTCTCTTCCAATCATAGTCTTTGTCTTGACAATAGTGTGTGGAGAATAACACACAGCCTCATTCGTTTGTATGGACTTGGCGTTCGGTGAGCTAATCGAGGGGGCGGAGGGGGGCGAAATTTAGTGAAGCGAATAATGACTACCTTGGAATAGCTGATTGGATATATAAGTGTGTCTTCTGGTGATTGCTATTATGGACTGTAGTGTTTGTAAAAAGATTCTCGTGTCTCATGGTGCGCTAATGAGACGAATGGATTGAGAAATTGAACAGTGTCTAAAGAATATTATGTGTATTCTATGACAATACTTTTAAGAGCAATTGAACTTTATATTTATCAATTCTCTTAGCTTTCGATATGTTGTATCTTTATTTTGTATAATATCAGCTCGAGTAGTATAATATATACAGAGAAGATAGATGGTTGATGTGATATTTTGTGAATTGTCTGGTCTTCTGGGAATGATTGAGAAATATCATGTACGGGCTATTACTATACAGGATTAAAGCTCGTAGTCCGTAGCGAGGGGAGAGAAAGAGGGTAG